CAGTGTGGGGGGAGGCAGTATCTTCTGTGCTCAGAGCACTGGCTTCGGTTCTCCAATCTCCAATGTTCTGAGATGAAAGATCACATAAATGACCTGTTTTCTTGGTGCAGCGTAAAAGCGTGGGCACGTGTGGTCCGTTGTTGGGCCTGCGGTGGTTGCTGTATGTATCAGAAATTTCCCAGGCAGTTGTTTGTAAGTTCATTAGATGAAGGGATCTTGGCAACTGTAGGGAATAGTAAGTAACAAGGGACAGTGTTTAGTTCATTATTATTCTATATAGCGGACTCACATACACTCCACTCAAGCCTTGCTCGTCATCATCAGATATTACTCCCTGTATCCTCGAATAAGCGAATAGTCCAGGCGCTGTATATTGTAAATCCCATCATCATCATCATCATGATCACTATCATCGTCTTCATTATCATCATCACCATAATCATCATCATCATCATCATCACCGCCATTTTCATCTATGTCAGCTGGGGGTGGGATAGGTGGCTGTGTATTGGAGCTGATGAACTGATTCGTAGATACAGGACTGTCAGTGAACTTTTAAATGGGGGAGTTGGGAGGAGAGCTATGCACGAACCCCACTAAGGGCACGACTGGGCCATATCAGACAATGTCTCTAACCATTGATGTGGCCCGTCTCGGGGTCCCCATCCAGGAAGATAGTAATGACCAGCACAGCTGAGTTTGCTGGTAATGGCTTTTAAACTTCGCTGTCAGCGACCCTAGCGGCCAGGTTCGAACTCACTGAGACGCACCACTTTGTTAGTGAAACGAACTGCAGTTCGGATATATGCACCTTCACTTGTTTGCAATGAACAGGGCTATTGTGGTCCAAAACTGAACATAACCCAGATGTAAAAATCGGTAATAAAATAGCTCAGCTGTGACACCCTTCTCGTGCCTAGCTGCCATGCTACCCGAAGGATGCACGAGGGCTGGGATGCTGCTAGGCTGCCTAAGCCTAGACAGAGGAAGTCGGGAGGTAGAGGTCAGGTCCGAACCACGGACCTTCCGGTCAGTAAATTTACGCTCTAATCGCTTGAGCTATCTCGCCCACCGGAATTAACGCCATTTACATAGGACCACAGATATCCAGGCTTCTCGAGTGGATACTGCGTGGAGCCTGAAGAAGTACCACGATAACTCTTGGACATGTTTTCGGCCGACGAAACACCAAATTTTTAACTCCGCACACAAACACTAACTTTTACTTCTTCCAGAGCGTTGTGTGGAGCAGTGGGACTAGGTCAGTCAGAAAGACAGACGGATTGGCTCAGATATCTATACCTACTGACTGCTGAAAGTAAGCTAGAAAAATATAACTAGGTCGTATGGCCACAAGGCACACAGTAAACCGTCTAGGCTTAAGCAACCTTGCAGTATCTCAGTAGTCGTGCTTCCTACGGGTGGCATATCAGTAAGACACCGAATGGGTGTTACGAATGAGTGATTATTAGTTGAGGTCGAGATGGCTCAGTGGTTCGTACCCATCCTCGGCGTTTGGATCGCTTTGTCTAGGCTTTGGCAACCTGACAGTATTTCAATCCTCGTGCTTCTCTCTAGTAAGCATGACAGGTAGGCAAGGAAACGACGTTACGGCTGAGATATTTTATTCCAGCTGAAGGACACCGGAAGCCCGTGGCAGAGCAGCTACGACATAAGTTATACGCCTTAACTTAAAAGTGCAGTACGCCTAAGTCGACAGGTAATATACCTTCAACACACAGGTTAGGTGGACTAAATTTCCGTACTGTGCTTCAAACCAGGATGTCCCTGTGCAACTTCACAGATGCCGGTATACGAATTGTACTAATTTCATACTACACACGGCCCGTACACGCCTACTTGGTGTGTCGGAGCACGTTAAAATTCATACTAGGAGATTTGTAGATTCGCATTAGGTAAGTTTGTAATTTTCATCGAACTCCTTGGAAGAGAAGAGGTATATACTTCAGCCCGAAACTTCTTAAAAGCATGCAACTTCCTTCCTACAAATGATAGAAGGAAAGAAACCCATGTTGCTACTGTTGAGTGTGTGTGTGTGGGTGCATCAAATGCAAGAGTGCCTTGTCTATTTTGTATTTGAATGTACGCGGATTTTTAATCTCTCCATTGTGTGAAAATTTGGGAAAAACGGATTCCAACAATTTTACTTTGAGCTATCATGTGAGTTGTACATACACCATTTCGTCTCCTGGACAGACCATCGTAAGTATCCGGGATTTCACTTCAGTCCTGAGTCATTTAGACCTGACAAGAAAGGTTTTTGAAAAGAACGCTCTTGTAGATTTAGGTAACGGATCAGTTAACACCGACTAGACGGAAATGACACGGCCATAAGTTCCTAAGATTGTTACACCGCGTGTGACTGACGATCTCACGATAATAATTGGATGTGATAGCTCCAATTCATTGTCAGAGATGAGAAAAGTGAGTTCCTTAGTTGTCCACGGTCAAAAAGATTCAGATCAGCAAACAGTGCAGTCCTCCTCAAATGTCATTCTGGGGAGAGTCCACCACACAGGGCTTGCAGGATGATCTGTTTATCACCATCCGTTCTTCAGTGTGGGAAGCTGTGGACACCTGCTAGTTGCTAACCCTCGGGACATTCCTCAGGTAGGCAGTACGACGTATCCGAAAATTGTACTTCATAACACGGTTGTACGATATGAAGTTTATTACACGGAAGGGTTTTCTAGAACACTGTGTGGACGGCTGACAGGCGGTTCTTATCGACTGCCGAGCCTTTGTTCGTCTTTCTACTCTAGGTGATGAATTAAAGCGGCATTAATACAAACGCAGTTATTGATTGCGAGTCGTACCTGGGCCATGGGTATAACAAGAGCGGTGATTTTTAATCGACTGTGGCTACTCTAGTTGGCCTTAGTTAGACCTTTCGCCACACAATTTTGCCCAGTACTAGATACGTTTCAAGAGTTGTGAAGTACTGCGTAGGCCTAACAGTTCAATTTGTGTCGAGTGAAACTTGCTGGACACTGTAGATGGATGGTACGCGATGTTTGGAATAGTCTGAGCCTCCGACAGAGCGTCCGGTCCGAAGGATATCAAGTGGATTTGTGGTTCTCACGCAAATCCAGTCGAGATTTGCAAGAAAATAGATGACGCAGGCAACGGATGTATCGCACCTTAATTCACTCGTTCAAGTCTTCCAAGTAAATTCGGCCAATCTATAGCTCCATCTTTTACCTTTTCACTGGGATCTATAGTGATTTGGGACCCTTGATGAGCTTGCTTAAACTAAGCAGTCATGCTGTGCATCACGTCAACGTCAGTGCTGTTGATCAAATTGTTTGTGTGATCTATCACGAGAATTCGCAACGCAACGATACAACTACCTGAACTGATCGCCTACCATAACAGTAAACAGATAGAATTTGACATTTAATGCGGAATGGGCACAACCTGAATTTCTCCATGAGAATAGCCCACTGTTTTTCGCGTCTGAACTGTCATATTATGCAACTTTTCCCGCCTCTTATGTTGCTGTCAATTGTGTACAACGAACAAATGCCCGGCGAAACAAACAGCTTATTTCGCTTCACGAACTGCAGATATCAGTCCGACTGCGTGTCGTTTCGGCGTTCACTGAGTCGTGGCCACTCTGCTAGAACGGATTAGGTGGACACCAACCTCAATAAAACTTAGCTAAAATGAGTAAAGGAGAGCCTGATAATACCACGATTTACAGGACTTAGACCTAGGGGAAGATTTAACCACAAGTGACCTTTTGGATCTTTGAATTACGATCACAAGGAGTCTGGCCAACTTTTTTTAAATTTGAGTTTCCCTAATGATTTTTTCTAGAATATTCTACATTCCAATGCACATCGTAAATGAATATTATACCTTCATCCTGAATATCAGTCTGCAAGTGGGTGTGTTCTAGTCCAATATATCTGGAACAAAACTAGGCGAGATGAAATTGGGAGAAATTAGTAAAGATTTTTTTAAGGTTCACCATGCTTCCCTGAAGATAAACAAATAATGCAGTATCAGGACTGTATACACGAAAAATGAACAGTTTCTTGCTGTTTTGAACTTTAATCATTTGTTGTACTTTTACGGGGACAACTGAGTTGACTCCCAATCAACAGCTTTTGTGTGGAGAAAATGGTTGGTGGTCGGAAGCACACAGGTAGCAATGAGTGAAGGTAACAAAGGTCGTAGCTATCAAGTGTAAACAAAAAGATATGACCTGAAATCGTCAACCTCTCCAATAACACCGAGAGCAACCGTATCCGCTGCGATTGTAACCATAGCAACCGTGTTTGAAAAACTGGGTGGTCTTTCAGTGTTATGTTAGTTCCTATTTTTCCCAGGTTTAATGTTGAAACAACCATATTCGGTAACCAAGTAACTTTCGGAGTTATCAATCACTAAATAAACACCCAAATTCTAGCTATCTGGCGGCTTAGAGCAGTTCGTCCGGTTTATCGATCAATTGTCTGCCGTATGATTAATACTCTAAACATGACAATGGCTGCCCCTCTTCTTGAGCCGCTTTGGATGGCTACACTATCACCGTCATTGCCACATCAAACTCCCCATTAAACTTTGGAGTACAATGTTGTAACTAAGGTTTCAAGGAACTGTGATGCGTCAACTTGGATTACCGTTTGAAGGGCCGCATTCCACAGTCCCCGTGTTCTCTAGGTGGTATAATTAAGCAGCTAGTAGAGAGCTGTGGGTTCATTTCAGGTATAAATACCGTACAAACGATAAGGACGCACTTCCAACGCATCCGACAACCGGAGAAAACAACAAGAACATCCAGACACACAGTCCCGACGTCATGGTCGAAGCGATGATTAAACTTAGCATCTGATCTGCTTTGTGCTTGTTGTTGTCATGGTATCGTAGACTTTCAGCTATATTAACATACACGGAGATGAGGTGTGATTTTTCATTGCTGATAAAGGCTTTGGTGATGCTTATCTCTCATGTACGTTCATAAAATTTTCTAGGTTGACTACAGATTTCTCAAATGGTCAAATTTGTTGGATATGGATAACTCGATTCTACGGAAATCGATCGAGGAAAAGCTTTTCACAGAGCTCATCTATCTACCGTATAACAGCTGTGATCTAGAAGAACAGGATATTGTCGAACTTCCAGAATGGTCGGCTGAACAAGATGAAGTGATCTTGCGTACAGGAAAACATTTAGGTGAAGCAGTCAACCCGGGGGCTGATGATCCGTCAGTGGTGGATTCCTGTCCTAGACAATTGGTTTACCTAATCGATCAAGTTTTCGGTCCCGAACCAAAAGAATTTATCACCCAGATATCGAAAACCCCTTGGTTGCTTGGACGAGCTCACCATCATTTGCGCTGTCGCTTTCAGCCGGAGCCTAGTCAAATCCAGTATACTCCGTGGGCTATCAATGCTCTTGGAAAAATTGCCGAACCAATTCGAACGCTTCGGTTTACCATGGAAACCGATAAGGACCTGAAGGAATTCGCTGAGGTGAGACCCAAATGATCGATAATTCATGATTATCCTATGTGGCTACGGAGTCTATTCTGAGTTGATTTATCGATCGTTGATTGAGCCTATACTCGTTTTGCCAATGAAATCAAGTTAAGCAGAACACAGCTCTGTTACCACCGTCAATTCTCCTCTGATTAAAAGGATAACGAAATTCGACAGATTAGCTGCCACACAAACACTCAGGTGTTTGCTGGAGAAGCTGACAACAACAACGATTGGCGCTGAATCACTTATTTGGCCGCAATGATTGCTAGCAAAGAAATACATTAACCATTTACTGACTGTTTGACTGAATAGGCGGCTTGAACAGTCATGTGTCTTGATCAGTGGCTTAATGCTCGCGCAACTTAGGCGACCAGTGCCCGAGATATCGACTTCCTCAGTCCTTCTTCTGATGGAAAATCTTTGCCCTTATTCTGCATATTAGTGGTTGATAATGAGATTGACATAAACAGTATTCAGTTCAAGTAGAACATAAGGTTGACGGAAACTCGGGGACTGCGCCTACCTGATGAGCTCCAAGAAGGACGAAACCGGTCGTGGACTGTCGAAGAGTTTTCAGCAACCTTGTGAGTAATTTCCTTTATACTGCGATATACTGCGATATCTCAAATATCGTGCCAACTTAATCATGAGGCGGCCTGTGTGCAGCACATTCAGATTGCGGACATCATAAACGAGAGATTCGATTGAATCTCCCGTGAAAACCAAATTGATTTGCAAATGAGTGTACTTCTCCAAAACAGTGCAATTTGGGTTCAAGTGGATCATAAGGTTGACGGAAACTCGGGGACTGTGCCTAACTGATGAGCCCCAAGAAGGGCGAAACCGGTCGTGGGCTGTCGAAGAGTTTTAGCAACGTTGTGAGTAGTTTTCTTTATGAAAAGTATTCAACCACCATTATGCTCGACTTCAGCAACACTTAGTGGACGGTGGATGCGTCTTGGTACACATCACATAAGAGCTTTAGCCCGGAAAAAAATGAGTTGTTAATGAAGTGATGATCTTTGCATAGAGAATCATCCGGTTTAACCATAAGTATTCACCGGGTTCACTAGATGTCTGTTGGACAATCAAATTAGTGATATGTCAAGTGGATTCAATAAGGAAGTAACACCACTGACCGTCCGCAGACGTCTGTCCACACAACCATCTCATAAGTGGTCCGAATTTGTTGTGAGTGTGTGAGTACTGATCGTGATTGGGATGAGGAAAACACACTGGGTTTTCGTTTTGTTAACCAACAGAATAACGTCAGCAAATCATTACAGGGCATTGCTATCACCTGCATACAAAAAAGTTACTAATTAACCATTTCAAGCACTTGAGAGCCCTCTAGTCTAAAGAAGTTATGCTGGGAAGCAAATGAAAAACAAACAAAATAAACAGATGAAAAAACGAGAGATTAACTTGAGTCTCACGTGAGAACCGAATTGGAATGCAACTGGGAGTATTTGTCGAAAACAACCCCGTACTATATTCGCGAAATACACTCATTTGCAAATCAATTTGGTTTTCACGAGAGATTCAACTGAATCTCTCGTTTATGATATTCTGCAACTGAACGTGCTGCACACAGGCCGCCTTACGATTCAGTTGGCACGATATTCGAGATATCGCAGTATATTTTCATAAAAGAAACTACTCACAAAGCTGCTGAAAACTCTTTAACAGGCAACAACCGGTTTCCGCCCCTCTTGGGCTCATCAGGTAAGCGCAGTCCTCGAGTTTTCGTCAACTTTATGTTTGTGCCAACTGAAATATGAGGTGGCATGTGTGCAGCACATTCAGTTGTAGAATATTACAAACGAGAGATTCGGCTGAGTCTCTCGTGAAAACCAAACAGATTTGCAAATGAGTGTATTTCTCGAAAACAGTCGGAGTTGAGTTCAAGTAGACCGAAACTCGGGGACTGCGCCTACCTGATGAGCCCGAACTGGAAGGGTGAAACCGGTCGTTGACTGTCGAAGGTTTTTCAGCAACCTTGTAAATAGTTCCCCACTATATTCTGTAGTCTCCCTGATAGAAAGGCCCTCACCTTCTTATGTGTATGACTTGATTCTTTATTTGCGGTGGCGCTGCCTTTGTCGATTTAGGCAATGAAAACACTTGCAGATGGTTATAACCATAGTTGTACGATTACTCGAAGTGAATTCATACAGACGTAAGGAGTCAGTGTCTCTCGGACGTGATTTCGCTGTAAAGTTGCTGACATATATACCTTGAAGCAACGAGAACGAAAGATTAGTCCAAAAATTTAATCCACTGACAACTCTTCTGATCACAGTCAAAGAAGGGAAAATGCCTCTCCAGAGGTGAGATATCCGCTAGTTCGTTGTCCTACTAAATTCAACAGGCTTTATCCTGATAATCCACTTAACGCGGCCTGAAATTTAATTGGCCTGATCATCAAGATTGCATTAACTTTGGGCGAATTCGCTGTGACTTCAACAATACAATCTTGGAGGGCTATGAATTTGCTCGGTCAATACCTTCAACAGTTGATGGTCCTGCTACAAAGGCTACCGATAAAAACTGTACTGATCATCAAATACTTTCCCTTCTTTCTGCCTCAAACTATCCAAATTTGTGGTTGCTGCGGGAAAATCAAATGTTTTCTATTGCTTATGTATCTCGCACTGCTTTACTGCAGCCACTCGAGTCTTTTGTGATGGTGTTTCCGACCAGAAACATGGACAGCGTAGGATACCATAAAATTCAGAAATAGGCCACTGTAAAGGTCCACGGAGGTGGGGGCATGCGTCAGTATGGTCGATAGCCCAATAGCCATTAAATGCATGAACCATTTTTACCAGAGCAACGCAACTAGATCAGTAAAACACTGATTGTGAGTGGTTAGAGTGCAAATTCACTGACCGGAAGGTCCCTGGTTCGAACCTGACCTGTGCCTCTCAACTTCCCCTGTCTAGGCTTGGGCAACCTGACAGTATCCCAGTCCTCGTGCAACCTTCGGGTGGCATGGCAGTTAGACATCTAAAGGGTACTAGAGCTGAACGAGATTGTGAGTTCCACAGGTAGTGACTGTGCAAGCTTGCGTTTGGAGATGCTATTTGGGGTCCTAGGGAGAGTGTGAAATATTCTTGCTTATTTCCGAATTATTACAAATTTGGAAGTATTTCCTCTTCGATGTGCCCTCTTGTGAGTAACAAGTTTACTGGACTCAGGCGACTTTCTACACAAGTTTTCTGCACCGGCAGTTGAGAAATTCGTTGCATAGCATTAACACACCAGTGCACCTCAGTTAAGAGCACCAAACTGTTATTCGTTACGGCCATTTATTATAGCTTGGAAATGACGGACAATAAAATAAAATAATCAGTGGAATGATGTGTAACTAATTTAATGTCATTTTTAATCAAAATATAAAAATTGGTCAATCATTTATGTAGACTTATTGATCCGCTGTAACACTTTTGATTTCAGGCTATGAAAGTTGTATTTGAACTGCTTGAGGATCTTGCACGTGGTGGACGGAGATATCACAAGAACTACTCGATAAACCTGGGCTTGCGCGTGCATTTCACCGGCCGAACTAAAACTGGTCGCCTTCTTGGTGTAGGGTTTGACTCTGGAGAGGATCAGTACAACACCAACATCCTAGCACACTTTACGTTCGTCGGCATCACTTCACCAGGGCCGAGCACATTGTGGACGAGGGCAGCCAATCACACAACAAATGTCTTACTTCGTTCAATCCCAAGATGTATGCCACAATGGAGAAGCGAGTGGTACGGCATTACGGTACGTCGTCGATTAAACAAGCAGAATTAGTTGAATGAGTGTAGCTAAAATCGACCTAGTCATTGAATATGCCTTTCAGTTAAGCTTCAAACCACTGAGTGAATGAGCTATGCCCACAGACCGAGTCATGTTGCATGTCGGATTATGTGTATTCATACACTGTGGAGATGAGGCAATCTTCGGAAGAATGATCCGAAAACAGCTTAATTACTCCAGAAATTATCCGCTGAACGTTTTGCGGAAGACGGAACAACTCAGATTATAGATGAATAAAAAGATTCCTGATTGTACTGACGGAAATACTGAAAACTCCAAAAGCACTGGCGGCCGGTGAGCCGTTTTTAACTGCCGGATTTCTGTTCTGTCGTTGAGCTCACAGGGTGATCTCAGATGATGACAACTGCAATGATCTTTCGCGCTGAGCGAAGGACCAAAAAAGTCCCTTTGATGGAGGCAACAGAGCATGCAAATCAGTGGGTTAGTTGTTTGGCTAGTAAACACACATGCACGTCTCTCCAGTTCAGTCTGAACAATCTGGTGTCTACTGTTGTTGTTGTTGCTGCACCTCAGAGAAAGAGCGAAATTTTCCCTAGTAAATGAAATTTTCATCTGAGAACTAGTTACTTGAGCAGCCAGTCAATACGTGTGATCACGTGACATTAATTCTGTGGTTGAGGGGTGAGTGGCTGACACAAAAAGATCAACCAGGCTTGTTCGAACGGTCGTGTTCAAACTACTAGCCGGAAGGTCACGGATTCGCAACTCCCTGGAGTTTCATGAGATGAGCACTGTTGATGATTCCCAATAAGAATGTACCAGTTGTAAAGGACTCTCCCGCTTTTCAGCTTCACTTACGGGTCAAAATCCATTGTGAGTAGTATCCTCTTATTTCCGTCATAAAATAAGGGTCAACGGAACTGATGAACAGCAGCCAAAATTGTTTCTTTTTCAAAATAATTAAGTCAAATAAACTAATTAATTTGGATCAAATCGATTCGGGAACCAAATTGACCTCGTATTTTCTAGCTCAAACCTTCCCTTATGAGGCTAGTAGTGCTTGCATGTTTCGACTTAATTACGTGAAAAAAGACCAAACTTCACCTGTTCTGTCCTTGTTCTAAGAGGTTATTTGCAACTCAGCAAAGAAAATTGAACCAAGCATTAGAAAAGCATTGTTTCTGCGGCCTCCCAGTGTACCACTGTGTATAAATCACAACGGCATCATTAATTCACTTCTAAGTTTTGCTGCGTGTTACTTTTACTTGTTTGATTGTGTTTCTCATTTTAGGAATTAGTCAAGCGCTTTCAAGATGCACTGTGCAAACAAATCGAACCATTGAAGAAGTTGGTTGAGTTGGCCGATCGCGATGGGGTTTTCTTGAATGAGTTGATGGCTTCCATCCTCTATCCGGAACCCACGTTCTACCAAAAGTTATATCAGTCACAACGCAATGACGCACTGTATGCTGTAATTCAGGACACAGCCTGTTTAGTATTCTAAAGCCAAAGATAGCTTCTTGTATCACCAGTTTTCTTCCAAAGGAGGTGGATTTGGAGAGCACCGTCTTGTTTGCCTGTGGATCATTTGTCATTTCTTCCTATTCAGTTTATTTCGGTTGGCATATCACACTCCGTGAACTGGAGTCACTTGAAAATACAACATTTGATTGTGTGTCCTTTTGTTACGCTTTTAGCAGCGAACATGTAGAGAAAACGGCCAGTTCTGAAAGGTGTACCGAGTAAGTGCTATCGCTCTAGGCAAAACACTGCGCAGCACAGCTGATATGATTCTCAGCTTGTGATCGGCCCCAGTTTCATTCAGCTTAGTAGCTTCCTACAGAATGAAAACACTGCCATATGGAACCAAAGGGAACGCGGACACTTTATATTTGATATTTGGGTAACGATTGTCTCGTTTACCTCTGCGGCTTGGCCCTTTAGAGTTCAGTACATGAGACATGAGAATGGACATCAAAATGAATGGAGAGGGCACAACTTCGATTGGAATAACGTCAGCATACTGGACCAGGCAAGAAAGAACGCGAGTTCATGGAGGTGTGGTACTCCAATGATGGAGCAATAAACAGACGCATTGAGATCAATCCTGTATACTAGCCTCTGAGGACAAAGGAAATCCAGAACCACGAGACCCAGAGCCGAACAAAGACTCAGAGAAGAGATCAATGAAACAATAAACTACTAAAATTAAGGGATACACCACAAACCAGCCAAACAACAGAGAAGACGACCACGACACAATACAGATCACGAAGGTGTTAACCGGAAGAGACAAAGAGAGAGAGAAGAGACAAGAGACGAAAATTTCAACAGTAGCGTGACCGTAGAAAGCAAGATATGCAAACTGCAACGTAACACAGATCAAGATCGGACCAACTAGAATCCAAGAAGGATGATTGCCAATGGCCATTTAGGATACAGCGCTCTTTGTAAACTATATAAATGCAGACATGAAGAGTGGAACTACCCAACCAACAGCGCACTGAAGATTTCTCCTCGAAAAGTGACGAAACGTTTGCTAATCAATTACTAAGCTCGGCGAACAGGTCAACAGCCACTTGATCAATGACCAAAAGTGGACCATTATTTCGGGCAGTAGCTAACCCAAATGATATCCTACAGATTCGAAAAAGTTGCTCGATCCACGTTGAGAGCAAAAAGAGTTGATGGTCGAAGCGAATTTTCGCATTAGGTTGTTCTCGTTGGGCGTGGTAACTGCATCAGTCGTTATATTAGGTGAACGAATTAACAATAAATCACTCTGGCTATACGCTTGACATCCCGACAGAACTAGTTATTATGTAACCGAAAATCGAAAAAAAGTATCGGGGATTGTGTGCGAACGAGATTTTTGGAAAGGAATGAAACAGGTGAGCGATTTTGGAGTCGGATCCATTTAGACAGGGCTATTGTGACGGAATTTTGTGACACCACTTATCGGTTTATTTTGAAAGCAAATTATCCTAAAGAGACATAAACAACCGGTAAATGCAACGGGATACTTTTATGTTGAATGTGGTTACCATGTTCAGTACAAATCCTTCGGACTAAACGATAAATTCGACAGTACAGGAAAAATAATAGCTCCTTACTATTGCCGAGGTTG